TGCCTAGAGCAGTTCCTTTAGCATTTGTTGTAAAGCTGGTTTGGTGGTGGTAAAGCCTCTTAGCTTTTGCTTGTCTGTAAAGCTTTTGATTTCTCTCTGCCACTCTCTCTGGCCTGCATAGTTTCTGCTGAAAATCAGCTGATAACCTTTTGCGGATTTCCTGGTATGTCATTTGTTGCTTTTCCCTTGCTGTATTTAATACTTTTTCTTTGAATTTAATTTTTGTTAGTTTGAATATTCTATATCTTGGTGTGTTCCTCCTTGGGTTTATCCTGCATGGCAGAGGTCCCTAACCCTGGTACTTGTCTGCGGCCCATTAGTAACCCAGATGCACATGCAGAGCTTCATCTGCCGCTCTCCTTGCTCACGTGACCGCCTGGACCACCTCCTCCCCCACAGTCCATGGAAAAATTACCTTCAGTGAAACTGGTCCTGGTGCCTAGAGAGGCTGGAAACCCCTGCTCTGTGGGACTCTCTGTTTCCTGAACTTGGGCGGCCGTCTCTTTTCTCATGTTAGGGAAGTTTTCGTCTGTGACTTCTTCAGATATTTTCCCAGACTCTTTCTCTTCTTCGGGGGCCCCTATCATTTGGATGGTGGTTCGTTTAATGTTGTCCCAGAGGTCTCTGAGACTGTCCTCAATTCTTTTCTTTTTTATAAATTCTGCTCCTCAGCAGTTGTTTCGACATTCTGTCTTCCAGCTCACTTGTTTGTTCTTCTGCCTCAGTTATTCTGCTGTTGATTTCTTTTGATGTGTTTTTCATTTTAGTTATTGTGTTATTTATCACTGTTTATTTGTTCTTTTGTTGTTCTAGCTCCTTGTTACACATTTCTTATATTTTCTTCATCTCTGTCTCCACTCTGTTTCTGAAATTTTGGATCATCCTTGCTATCATTTCTGTTCATCCTTTTTCAGGTAGCTTGCCTGTTTCCTCTTCCTTTATTTGGATCTTATAGGTGTTTACCTTATTCTTTCATTTGTGACATGTTTTTTGTCGTCTCACTTTTTTGATGGGTGAACTGTGTTCCTGTTTTACTGTTGTTTGGGTTGAGGCATTCAGCCCTGGAGTTTGCAGGCGGTTGGGTAGAGGCAGGTTTGCTGTGGAGGGCAGGGTCTTGGTGAGGGGGGGACCTAGGCTCAGGACCCCTGTGCAGGGGAATAGGTCCTTGTGGGGGAGGTGCAGGGGAGGGAGCTTAGGTTCTGTGTGGCTGGAAGGAAGAGGTTTGGCCCAGGGCCCCAGCAGGCTTGCCAGAACCCAAGCAGGTGTGGAAACTGCTGGCTGGCCCCCTCTAACCCCCCAGCGCCCAGAAGGTCTCCCCCATCCTCGCTGATCTTACAGTGAGCGGGCGCCCCTGAACGTGGGGTGCCCACCCCTCCCCCAGCTGCCCCTGAGGCTCCTGTCCGTCTCACCCCTACTTCTCCTCCCCTCCCTGCCTCCCGTTATCCCCCAGGATCCGCGGGGCTGGAGAGGGCCTCGGGGGAATGAGGTTCAGGCTCTGGACCCCAGCAGGCCTCCCGGGGCCTGAGTGGGCAGCAGCGGCACTGGACCCAGTCCCCTGAGACCCCCCTCTTTGCTGATCTCCTCACCAAGACTGAACCCCTGCAAGCGTGGGAACCTCTCCCCCGCCTCAGCCATCCCTCAGGGTTGCTGTCCCCCCACCCGTACTTCTCCTCCCCTCCCAGCCCCCTGAGTTCTGCCTGGTCATGAAGGGGGTTCCTCCCATCCGCTTAGGTGTCCAGGGTCCCGCTCAGCGCCTGGTAGTGGCCCTGATTGTGAGGAGACAAACGCTGCATCCTCCTACCTGCCATCTTGACTCTGCCTCAGTGTTGATGCATTTTTATTGAAAGCAGTTTAAAATCGCCTCCTCCTCTGGGGAGGAGACAGCCAAGTATACATTATAAACAAAAATGTGAATTTCTGTCCTTGTGTAATGAACATCAGTGGAAGGTTTACTTTACAGTTAATTTCTAGATTATGACCATTGTGTACCATGAAGGACACATGCATTGAAGGGAGAATAATTGTAATTACCACTGGTTCACAGTGGATTGAGAGTTGGAGCAGGTGACCAGAAATAGCAGGTTCATGTTGTACAAATCTGGTTTAAGTTAAACATTGGCTATATAATTTTCTTTAAAAATCGTAATGAGGTATTCCTAGAGCTGAGGTTATAAATTCTTCTCACTGAATATTTCAGAAACAGGTGCAAGTAGCCACCATTTCTGATTGTTTGAGTTGAGATGGCCCTTTGGGTTCCAGAATCAAGATAAAGAAATGTGGGTCAGTGAGTGGAGTGGAATCCTAAGCTGCCTGCTGTCCTGGGGCAGTAAAATAATTCATGCATCCAACAAGTAATGCCAGGTGACCTTTTGGGGACACTGCAGAGCCAAAGGTTTGAACTGAGGGATCCTCAGGTTCCTTTCATTCTCATTTTTATGTTTTAATTTTAGTAGATTTCCCCATCTCCTTCAATAATTTCTACTGGGAAAATTAATAAAATTTATTGTACATATAGAAAAATCACAGTGTGTGTAACTTTTGGGGTTTCTGCGTTTATTGCCCTTTTTGTTTAGCTTGGAGCAAGGAAAAGATTTTATTAACAAGTTTTAATTCCCCTGGAACCTACATAATTTTGAGTATTTAAGTAAAAACAGCAGTTGAGTGTTAACAGATGTGGTGACCAAGGCCACATGCCCTGTCACTTGCTCTCGTCTAAGCTTTCCATGGTCTAGAAAGCTTATGGAATTGATGTTGTGTTACTTGAACATTGATATTATCATGTCTACACTTTTAGTTTTTGGATTAAATGGATGACTTATGTCCTTCCTAAATGGAGTCATTCTGTTTTCATCTGAAAGAAACATCATTTTTCCATCTCAGTGATGGCTTCATTTTTTATTTAGTGGCAAGAAGTAGCAGGTTGTTTGTTATTACAGGAGTCAGTGTAATGCTGGAGTTTTGAAGGTCCTCAGATTATCATCTGGTCCAGGCGCCTATGCAGGAGATTAGACAGATGATTACTCAGCCTTTCCTGAAATACTTAGAGTGATAAGAAACATACTGACTTTTCCAGTGTTTTCATGGTAGCATCTGCTGTTGAAGTCAGCGTTGCCCTCCTGGTTGCTTACACCTTCAGTCCTAGTTCTCTCCTCTGAAGTAACACATAGCAGTCTTTTTCCTTGGCGACATCCCAGCCCCGGAAAAGTTTGTCCTCCAGGAGCTTCAGTTTTCTTGTCTGTGACATGATTTGGTTACCTAACCGGGATTGAGGTTTAAGAACAGCCTGAACAATTGTAACCTTAGGCAAAACCCTTTTCATGTTTCAGAGTATTAATATCTTAGTTTTATCTCTGGTGTATAATGTAATGGGAAGAATGGCAGTGTGTGTCCATAGATTTGGGAATCCTGATACGTACTTTAAATTTCTATTCTTGTCACTAAGAAATGATAATTCATTTGTTTATTGAACATTTATTGACTGTTCACTATGTGCCTGACACTTGGATCTTAAGTGAATATAAAAACAGAGTAAGACAGTTACCTTCTCTGCCTGATCGGGGCTTAGCTTCTCTTCCCTAGATCTTTTTACTTTGAGTTATAGATGGTTTTTTAAAATTTCCATTTTCTTTAAATGTTTTTATATTTATTGGAGTAAAGTTGATTGACCATGTTGTGCTAGTTTCAGGTGTGCAGCAAAGTGATTTAGTTATATGTATCAGTTCTCTTTTCGGATTCCTTTCCTATACAGGTTATTGTAGAGTATTGAGTAGAATGCCTTGTGCTATATAGTGGATCCTTATTGATTAATGTGTGTGTGTGTGTATATGTATATGTGTGTGTATACATTCCATTTGTGTGTATACATTAAACCCAACCTCTTAATTTCTCCCTCCCCTCCATCTTTCCCCTGTGGTAACCTTAAGTTTGTGTTCTAAGAGTGTGAATCTCTTTCTGTTTTGTAAGTTCATTTGTATTATTTTTTGGATTCTACATAAAAGTGATGTTACATGATACTTACCTTTGTCTGTCTGACTTATTTACTATGATGATGTCCAAGTCTATTCAAGTCACTGCAAATGGCATTATTTCTTTTTTATGACTAAGTAATAGTCAATTGTAATATATATGTACCACATCTTCTTTATTCATCTATCGATGGATACTTAGGTTGTTTCTATCTCTTGGCTGTTGTAAATAGTTTGCAAAAATACATGGGATTACATGTATGTTTTAAAAATAGTTTTCTCCAGATTTATGATCAGGAGAATAGGATTGCTGGAACATTCGGTATCTCTATTTTTAGTTTTTCAAAGAATCTCAGTACTATTCTTCATAGTGACTGTTACCAATTTACATTGCCACCAACAGTATAGGAAGGTTCCCTTTTCTTCACACCCTCTCCAACATTTATTGTTTGTAGACTTTCTGATGATGGCCATTCTGACTGAGGTGAGGTGATATCTTAATTAGTTTTGATTTGCATTTCTCTAATAAGTGATGTTGAGCATGTTTTCATGTGTTTTTTGGACATCTGTATGTCTTGGGAGAAATCTATTTAGATTTTCTGTCAATTTTTTATGGTGTCTGTTATAACTTTTTATTTCTAATTTTATTGATTTGAGCCTTTTTCATTTTTTTCTTTTCCGGTTAAAGGTTCATCAATTTTCTTTATCTTTTCAAAGAACCAGGTTTTAGTTTTGTTGATCTTTGCTATTATTTTCTTCATCCCTGTTTCATTTATTTCTGACCTGGTCTTTATGACTTCTTTCCTTCTGCTTTTTTGTCTGTTTTCTGAAGTAAGATTGTCTTGCTTTAAAATTCCTTCTTTGAGCTGCTGTTGCTGCGTCCCTTAGGTTTTGGATTGTCGTTTTCATTTTCACTTGTTTCCAGGTTTTTTGCCTGTTCAAAATAAAATAAACTTGATAGTCTACTTTTATTCCTCTGAATGTTTTTATTTTTCTTATTAATTTAGTATTTAACAGTATGTCTTTGATTTACAGATATATGGAGTCTGGGAGTGATCCTTTTCATGTTGGTATGTGGGCAGCCACCCTTTCAAGAGGCCAATGACAGTGAAACACTGACCATGATCATGGATTGCAAATACACAGTACCATCCCACGTGTCTAAAGAGTGTAAAGAGTAAGTAAAAAAAAAAAAAAAAAGTATATATGTATCTTTGTTCATTTTAACTTTTGAACCCAGTGTTTCTGCTCTTAGTAAGAGTGTTTTGGGAGTTAACCCCAGAATGTGATTTGAAATTTAATGTTGGAGAACATAATGTGTTAGTTTGTGTTTCAAATAAGCTAGTTTTCAAGAAACCCATTATATGCTTCCTCAGCCTCCAGGAGTGGTGGGTTACTTTCACTTGAAGAATTGCGGTAAGAACTACTTTCTGTTTTTGCTGCTGGAATTATTTAAAGCTCCAGAGGAGAGTTAGGGGATTTGCTTTCCTGAAATAGACTATCAGCACATTATTTTTGGGTTTACAAGGAGTGCCTCATAATTTTATTCATGTACTCCTCCCCACAGTTGACTGAAGAGCTCTGTTTGGTTCCTGTGACTATAGGAAGAGTACATGGAAGCTGATTATTTGGAATTTAAAGTACTATATATAGCACTGTGATGTATATAGTGATAAATTCATAATGTAATAAAAGAACTGTTGGAAGTTCAGTATTTCATTGATTTAAAGTTTTTAGTTTCTCCCATCATTTGATATGAAGGAAATCTGATAGTTTGAGGAATCTTCTCTGCAAGTGGAGCCCTATCTTAGGCCATAGTTAAGAACTTAGGAATTCAAACTCTTGAGATTCAAATACTAGTTTTTCAGTTTACTAATGATGTGAGAATGGTGGAACCTACCTTACAGGGTTATTGTGGAAATGAAATGAATTAATGTATGTAAAGCTTGTAGCTCAGTCTTAGCACACTCAGAATGAATATTGGTGGTGACTATCATCGTCGTCATCCTTATGCCCTGTTATTATTCTCTATCCCGGAAGCAGGCTGCTGTCTGTGGGTGTATGTTGTGTGTGTGTGTGTGTTAGATGTTTGTATTTCAGGAGTATATTCATAGCCCCTTCTGAAAAAAAAAGAGTAAGTTATTTTTATGTTGACATATATCATTCAGAAGAACAGATAAAATGTATATGTGATAAAGTGAGCACCTTTGTACCCAGTAACCAGCTCAAGAAAAGGAACAGTTCTAATATTTTAGAAGCCTCTTCTTGGTATCTCCTTCTCAGAGGGATTATCTTTAATTAATCATAGGACCATTCAGTTTCTCCTTTTTCCTGTGTCAGTTTTGCTAAGTTTTGTTTTTTAAGGAACTTACCATTTTATCTAAATTATCAAATTTCTTGGCCTCAGGTATTTATAACATTCTCTATATTTTGAAAGCTGATTGATTAGTGGATTTGTTGTCCTTTTTTCATTCTAGTATTGATTTTTTTGCTTTCTTCTATTTTTGCTTTCTTTGTTTTTGTCTTGATCAGGCCTGCCTGAGGTTTGTTCATTTTAATGTTTCTAAGAGCTGTCTTTTGTTTTTCTTGATTTACTGTTGTATTTTTTTTTGCTTGTTTTATGCTACTGATACTCTTTTGTCTGTGTTATTTCCTGCTACCTACTTAATGCACTAGTTCATTTTTCCATTTTCTTATGTTGAATATTCCATAAATTTTTCTTTTCTAATGTAGTGGTTAAGTACCATTTTACCTGCATCTGACTAGTTTTGATTTATAGTCTTTTGTTATTCAGTTCTGATTATTGTCTAGTTTCCATGTGGTTATTTAACCCATTACTTTTCGAAGGGTGTTTTAAATTTCCAAATGTGTAAGGGTTTTACTAATCAGCTTTTTGTTATTCATTTCTAACTTAATTGCATTGTGATCCAAGGCTATAGTCTATATGGTACTAGTTTTTATTAAATTGGTAAGGCTTGCTTTTGGATTAGCATGGAGTCAGTTTTTGTAAATAATCCTTTTATTCTAGAAAAGAATGTACACTTTCTAATTGTTGGGTCAGACTTCTTTATAAATCCTTAAGACTAAGCTTGTTAATTATGCTGTTCAAAATTATCTAAATCCTTTCCTAGTTATTTGACTTAATATACCACTTATAATGAGATATTCTTCCACTATGTAGAATGGTATCATAGGCAAATAAAAAGAGTTATTACCCCCATCAATACAACATGACAGGTCAGCTTATTTTTTTGTATTTGGAAGTCTGTCAGTTTTTGCTTTTGGTGTTTTGAGGGGAATATTATTAAATCCAAACAAGTTGAAAACTGTTGTGTCTTCCTGGTGAGTTGAACCTTTGTATCCCTGTCTATCTCTAATAATGCTTTGGGCCTTAAAGTCAGTCTGTGGCATCTAGTTTTAGCTAATCACACCAGTCTTCTTTTGGTTAGCAGTCATGTGCTATATAGTTTTCTGTTCTTTAAATCTTTTATTGTCTTGTTTTTAGGTACATCTTTTTTTAGCAACTAGGAGCTAGAATTTTGATTAATACCATCTATCCATTTGAGCATTTTGTCTTTTAATTGGAGAGTTCATTCGATTTATTATTATTGTACTCACTGATAGATATAGATGTATCTGAAGTCTGCATTCTTAATTTCTCATCCTGTCTTTAAGTTCTTGCAGTGGAACTTGGCTTCCATTGCATTTTTTTTTTCCCCATTGGGATGTCAGGTTTATTGTAAGTTCTTGTAAGTTATAGTCCCAACACAAGGAATTTGTATTTGCTTTCCTCCTAGTTACCCAGGGGCATTTTCACCCTGAAACCTCTTAAAAGTAACCACACAGATTTAGTGTCATTAATTTGGACCACAGACTTGTGTGAGGACCGGCTTGTACCTAGAAGTTCTCAGAAGAAACTCCCCTCTCCCCCCTCTGCAGCAGTGTTGAGGCAGGCAGGTTTCCACCTTGACATCTTAGCAGGAGATGTGTTTCTCACTTCTCATTCCTCCCCACACTGAAGCTGGGTCCCAGTTCTTTGCTAGGTTCCAGTTGTACTTCTCACCTTCAGGAGGCTGTGCACAACCATTATATTCTGCGTATATTCTGTTTTCAGTTACTCAGTGCAGAAGCAGGAAAAATCAGAACAAGGCTAGCTTTGTCATAAGCTCCTAAGAGTCTTACTTTTACTGTATTTTTATTTGCTGAGTAGTTCGTACATCTCTCCGTCCTTCTATCTTTTCTTCCTGTCTTTCATCCCTCCTTCCTTCTTGCCAACACAACCCCCTAAAGGTAGGTGACATTTTGGTTGCTTTCATCAGGATGGTCATTCATTCTTCTGGAAACAGAAGTTAGCTCAGCACCCTATTCTGTGTGTTGTAGCTGGTGGTTGTATCAGGTTGTGGTGTGCCAATGCCCCAGTTAACTCAGGGGCAGATGTTGATACCTAGTGTTAGTTCTATTTTTTTTTCCCATTTATTTTTATTAGTTGGAGGCTAATTACTTTACATCATTGCAGTGGTTTTTGTCATACACTGAAATGAATTAGCCATGGATTTACATGTATTCCCCATCCTGGTCCCCCCTCCCACCTCCCTCTCCACCCGATCCCTCTGGGTCTTTCCAGTGCACCAGGCCTGAGCACTTGTCTCATGCATCCAACCTGGGCTGGTGATCTGTTTCACCCTAGATAATATACATGTTTCGATGCTGTTCTCTTGAAACATCCCACCCTCGCCTTCTCCCAGAGTCCACAAGTCTGTTCTATACATCTGAGTCTCTTTTTCTGTTTTGCATATAGGGTTATCGTTACCATCTTTCTAAATTCCATATATATGTGTTAGTATACTGTAATGGTCTTTATCTTTCTGGCTTACTTCGCTTTGTATAATGGGCTCCAGTTTCATCCATCTCATTAGAACTGATTCAAATGAATTCTTTTTAATGGCTGAGTAATATTCCATGGTGTATACGTACCACAGCTTCCTCATCCATTCATCTGCTGATGGGCATCTAGGTTGCTTCCATGTCCTGGCTATTATAAACAGTGCTGTGATGAACATTGGGGTGCACGTGTCTCTTTCAGATCTGGTTTCCTCGGTGTGTATGCCCAGAAGTGGGATTGCTGGGTCATATGGCAGTTCTATTTCCAGCTTTTTAAGAAATCTCCACACTGTTTTCCATAGTGGCTGTACTAATTTGCATTCCCACCAACAGTGTAAGAGGGTTCCCTTTTCTCCACACCCTCTCCAGCATTTATTGCTTGTAGACTTTTGGATAGCAGCCATCCTGACTGGCGTGTAACAGTACCTCACTGTGGTTTTGATTTGCATTTCTCTGATAATGAGTGATGTTGAGCATCTTTTCATGTGTTTGTTAGCCATCTGTATGTCTTCCTTGGAGAAATGTCTGTTTAGTTCTTTGGCCCATTTTTTGATTGGGTCATTTATTTTTCTGGAGTTGAGCTGGAGGAGTTGCTTGTATATTTTTGAGATTAATCCTTTGTCTGTTGCTTCATTTGCTATTATTTTCTCCCAATCTGAGGGCTGTCTTTTCACCTTGCTTATAGTTTCCTTTGTTGTGCAAAAGCTTTTAAGTTTCATTAGGTCCCATTTGTTTATTTTTGCTTTTGTTTCTAAAATTCTGGGATGTGGGTCATAGAGGATCCTATGCAATCCCTATCAAACTACCAACGGTATTTTTCCAATTTTACCAACTAGAACAAATAATTTCACAATTTGTATGGAAATACAAAAAACCTCGAATAGCCAAAGTAACCTTGAGAAAGAAGAATGGAACTGGAGGAATCAACCTGCCTGACTTCAGACTATACTACAAAGCCACAGTTATCAAGACAGTATGGTACTGGCACAAAGACAGACATATAGATCAATAGAACAGAATAGAAAGCCCAGAGATAAATCCACGAACCTATGGTCACCTTATCTTCGACAAAGGAGGCAAGGATATACAATGGAAAAAAGACAACCTCTTTAACAAGTGGTGCTGGGAAAACTGGTCAACCACCTGTAAAAGAATGAAACTAGAACACTTTCTAACACCATACACAAAAATAAACTCAAAATGGATTAAAGATCTAAATGTAAGACCAGAAACTATAAAACTCCTGGAGGAGAACATAGGCAAAACACTCTCCGACATAAATCACAGCAGGATCCTCCATGACCCACATCCCAGAATATTAGAAACAAAAGCAAAAATAAACAAATGGGACCTAATGAAACTTAAAAGCTTTTCCACAACAAAGGAAACTATAAGCAAGGTGAAAAGACAGCCCTCAGATTGGGAGAAAATAATAGCAAATGAAGCAACAGACAAAGGATTAATCTCAAAAATATACAAGCAACTCCTCCAGCTCAACTCCAGAAAAATAAATGACCCAATCAAAAAATGGGCCAAAGAACTAAACAGACATTTCTCCAAGGAAGACATACAGATGGCTAACAAACACATGAAAAGATGCTCAACATCACTCATTATCAGAGAAATGCAAACCAAAACCACAATGAGGTACCATTACACGCCTAGTGTTAATTCTAGATGATAGGAAACTGCATTTGTGTGTTTGGCTTGTCTGGTGGTTACGATTTTTTATTCTGTGAATCTGACGACACCAAATCTCCTTCATTCCCATCAGCCCCACCATCAGCACTGGTGAACCTGATGAAATCGATGGTATAAGTTTAGGAAACAATTTTGAAAAATACAGTAGCTCACCATTACTCATCCCTGCCAGGACTTTGCTTTAACAATGGACTTAACCTTCCTTTCCAGCCTGATCACACGAATGCTACAGAGAGATCCCAAGAGGAGGGCCTCTTTAGAAGAGATTGAAAACCATCCTTGGCTTCAAGGAGTGGACCCTTCCCCGGCCACGAAGTATAACATCCCGCTCGTGTCGTATAAAAACCTGTCGGAAGAGGAGCACAACAGCATCATCCAGCGCATGGTGCTCGGGGACATAGCGGACCGCGACGCCATTGTCGAGTACGTCGGCGCTCGCCAGTGCAGGGCCATGGGTTAGGGTTCTTGGGCTGGGCCCTTAAAAAAAAAAAAAAGTTTGTCTTAAAATTTTGTTTATCTATTTATTTTTGGCTTTGCTGGGTCTTCGTTGCTGCGTGGGCTTCTCTCTAGTTGCAGAAAGCGGGGGCTGCTCTCTAGTTGAGGTGCGCGGGCCTCTCGGAGCGGTGGCTTCTCTCGTTGTGGCGCAGGCTCTAGGGCTCCTGGGCTCAGTGGTCGCGGTTCCCAGGCTCTAGAGCACAGGCTCAGTAGCTGTGGTGCAGGCCTTGCTGCGAGGCACGTGGGACCTCCGGGTCAGGGAAGGAACCCGTGTCTCGTGCACTGGCAGGCAGGTCTTGACCACTGAGCCACCAGGGAAGTCCTGGGCGCGCTCTCAGTGTGGCTGGGCCTGTGGACGAGGTGTAGTGGTTGGAGTTCCCAGTTGGCAGGGCTTACGTCACTTATCTCTAGAGTTCCTGGCCCCGGGCCCGGCTCATAGGTTTTGTTGTCTTTTGTTTTTATTTTTGTTCTAGTAGACAAGCACACCATTGCTCGTGGTGTCCGTGAGTCCTGTGGTCTTTCTCCCTGCTCACAGAGGTGAATTGGAGTAGACCGTTTTGTGTCCCGGTAGCGGCACTGTCCATTGCTGGGTCCTCCTAACTCCTGGGTCTCCCTCTGGTCCCCACAGGGAAGCAGGAGCAGACCACAAGTTCTTGAAGTCAGGAGTTGGCCTGTCTGTAGTCACCCATTTTCATAAGTAAGGGTGTAGAGGCCCACAGCCAAGGCCGTTTGTGTGCACGTTACCGGAGTCGCTGTGAGAAGGACCATCCGACTTAACGAAACTCAGAAGATGTTACTGTCTGGCTTTTTAGAGCCTTTGCTACAGTAACCTGGAGCCCATGAGATGCACAAGTTAGTTATATTTTTTAAAAACCAAAGCCAGTTTTTTATAATCTGTGAAGTTTGAAATCAAGGATAATATAAAGATACAGTTGCTTTAACAGTGATTCATTTCTCTAAGAGGTCCTGTCTGTAACAATATGAAGTGTTCTACAAGTCAAAAGTCATTTAACCGACTGGATGAAACAGTTGAGGATGATAAATGAGGATATACTCTGGGGGATTCCCCTCAAGGGGGCCACTCTGGCCTGGCTGAGTGTTCTGACCCAGGTGTCTGACCGCCAGGAAGAGGAGGCTGCAGGCTGGACATACCACTGCAACGGGGCGCGCTGTCAGGCTCAGCTCCCCAGGTCTGGTCCTTGAGAAGGGTGGGGTCTTTATAAAGGACATGCATCTTTAGGGTATACGGCAAAGAAGAATTTATAAAAATAAACTCAGGCTCGTAGTTTTGGTTTAAGTACAAACATCTGCAGGTTTCTGAGTGTGTTTTGAGTTTTCACAGATTGACCTGCAGTTACTGAAATGACCTAAACAAATGGAGAAGAGCAGGACACTTGCTCTTTTTGCCAAGGATACTCACTGTAGGAATGTGTAGAGGATGATTTTTCACTTTTGAGTGGATAAAAGTCTATTTGCATCTCCTTGAATTGGCTTGAGTCTTAAATAAATACATGCGGTGGTGTCCTGTAGAACTGTTTGATTTATGTAAATTCAATTATAAATCCAAAAGGAGGGATAATTTGCAGTCTGAGGTGTTCCCAGCAGTTCTCAGGCTAGTCTTGCCTGCTGCCCACATTATGAGCAGCTCCCCATTGCAGGGTGCTTCCCGAATTCAGAGACACATTTGTCAGTCCCCTTAACACAAGCTCACAGCTTTATCTGGTGCTCGGTTGAGGAAACACTCTGAGAAGTCATTCTGGTCCTTCACCGGGATGTCTGACTTCAGAATCTCACCTTGGCCCTGGTGGTTTTATGAGGAGTAGCGCCCGTATTGTGTCCTTCCTGAGTGTTCATCGTGTACGTTCACTCACACAGAAGGGTCCTGAACACCATCGTCGTGTGTTTCTGGGCCTTGTGGATCCTCGGTAGTGCCCCCTCCAGGGTCCGTCCCACCGCAGGCCAGCTGCGGGGGGCAGGGGGGGTGCCCAGTGGGCATGTGCCCGGCACAGTGCCGGCCAGACTGAGGACTCAGCACTACTTTTGAGGTGGATGTACAGATTTCATTTTATTCACATATTTTATTCAAAGAAGAGGCTAATAACATGCTTTCAATAGATTAGTAATGCATTAGTGTCTGAAAATGCCAGTAAACACATAGTGTAAAAGGAAAAACGTTTTCTAATTTTTCTGACTGATACTCCTGTTTGAGTGCACATTCATAAAACTCATTTCATAATTCTGTCGGAAGCAAGTAAGCCACTCTCATGAAAATAAACTGACACACGTTAAATTTTTGGATAATGTATACATTCTTGGAAACTTTATTATCTTAAGCATCTAAAACTGACATCCAGCTCAGCTGCCATCAGCATTTTGGGTTTTTCCTACTAACCGACCATTTTTATGCAGTTGTTGCTTAGAATTTTAAGAATGATCTACTACCAGGTTTTGGGTTTTTTTTCCCCCCTCCTTTTTGTGGGGGTTCCCCGCCCCCCTTAATTTTAAAGAATTCCAGGTCATTGGGTTTTATTTGCTTTTACTTAAAAAACAAAAACTCAGTTGTGATGTGTGAAGACAGACCTGCTAATGCAGCTTATGTTCTCTCTCCCTTACTTCCTCAGGGCCCTGGAAACCAACAGGTACAATCACATCACAGCCACTTACTTCTTGCTTGCTGAAAGGATCCTGAGGGAAAAGCAAGAGAAAGAAATACAAACCAGATCTGCAAGCCCTAGCAATATCAAGGCCCAGTTTAGGTGAGAAAAAACTCTTCACTGATTTTAGTAAGTTAACGTTTTGAAATAGCCAACTTTTCCTAAGTGTTTCCTAACTGTGGGGCGAGAGGATAAAGAGCCTCGCCGAGAGGCCCGTGTGGGCTCTCCACGGGAGGGAGGGGCCGGGGTCCTTGTCACCGGGGCCACCCTCCTCTCCTGGGCTCGCAGGGAGATGGGCTGTGCTGCTGGCCTGGCTGGGAAGACGTCTGTGCAGAAGCGGCCTCAAGCTAGGGTGTCTGTCGCTGTTTCTGTTAGACTGTTCCAGATCTGACATGTAGAGATGTGTCATTTTCTCCTTAAGTTTTATTCCGGGAACAAGGCTGGGTTTTCCCTCAGTATCTGGAATAATTTTAGAAAACCTGCAGGGCATATCTGTGGCATGATGTTATCTCAGGATTGTAGGAGTGTGACAGATCAGCTAGTTGATTTATTAGCTACTTCGCCTTGGGAGTTCACCTAACTTCTGACTCGGCTTCCTCATCTGTGAAACGGGTAGAATACTGCTCTTTACTCCTTGAGGGTATCGTTGGGATAAATGAATTAACATATACGCGAGGTGGTTTGAACTGGGTCCCGTGTGTCTGCTGGCGCTGTTGTGGCCGTTTCCCCACCGTGCCATCTTTGGCAGAGCAGTGACTGTGCACACATCTCCCCTCTGTTTTCCTTCCCTTCCTTTTCCAGCTTTCTCCTGCTGCTCCTCTCCCGCTGCCTTCCTGCTCTTCTTTTTCTTATACCATGTTAGCTTTCCATTTAATCTCAAAACTTGGGAAGGCTTACTGAAGGGTTACTTTTGTCACCATTATGAAAATTTATTTAGAATTTATCTTTGTTCAGATAAAGCAATGGAATTATAGTGGAATTAATAGTGATTCAAAAACAGCAGGATGCTCTTGATTCTTAGTAATTCTCTACTTGTACATCCAACTATATATGAACATATGTGTGTGTATATTTATAATAAATTACTGTTTAAAAGAAGAGTACCATTGGATTTTAAATTACTTGCAGTCAGCTTGCCGCGGGTAGGTTGTTGCTTGGGGTGGCGCGACGGAGAAGAGACAAGAAAACATTCCCAGGTGACCAGAGACTAAATATTTAAAAGTTTAGTTTAACTGGAAGATGAATTTGGTAACTTCATTTATATCCTGGATGTTTTCTTGCATAACGAAAGCCAGGCACTCTGTCTGGTGTCAGCTTGCAAAAGGACTGGGCCCCAGGGAAGGTGGGAACCCTTGCACATGGGACAAACCAGGAAAAGGTCGGTGAGTGGTTAGGGTCAGCCTAGTCCTGACCCGAGCCCTCCTGTGTGAAAGAGCAGAGTCACCGCAGGCCTGGCCGCCTGGCCTGGAGCCACCCCAGTGTTTGGGAGAAGGGAACATTTGGAATTGAATTGTTTTATTTTCAGTGGAACAGATCAGAACTCAATCTAAAGTTGATCAGACAGATAAATGAATTAAACTGGCTTTACTTTATTATAGAAATTACACAGCCAACAGCAGCTATAGAGAAGTACCAGAGCCTTCCATGCAGTTTTCTTTTACTCACCTGGGGACTAGGCAGTGGAGATGCTTGTGGGGGCCTGTCCTCCCAGGCCCACTGGCACGGGTAGATGTCTGCTGACTTGCCTTGTCTTCATTGTCAAAATCCCAGACCCTAACTCACTTCCATTGCTGGGTGCACCTTGGGGTCAGGGTGACCTGGATGCAGAAACGCGGCCTGAGACAGGAAGGAGACTGGTGTTAAGCAGCAGAGTTAGTGGTGGAGGGGGCAGTGGGTCCAGCCAGGGAGAGCCTGCCTGGAGAGGGCGCATTCTTTGTGTCCTGCCAGCGTGGGCGGGAAACACGTGCGCTTGGTCTGTACGAGAGCCTTGAGAGGTCCTCCGGGAGCCTCCCTCTGTGTGTGAACTGTGCTGTCAGCGCAGCTCCTTTACGGTTCTTGTTAGCAAACTTTCTTATCTCTTGTTAAGATAAGCTGTGATTTTCTCACGTCATGCTTATTTAGTCTAGCACAGCATTGGACCCAGATATGTTCTTAATAGATGTGAGCTATTTAACCATCTGATTAACTCACGTAAATGAGAAGTGGTGATGGAGTGGCCGGTTCAGCTGCAGGGCCCTCCCTCTTGTTTCTGGGTGGGCTCTGTTGTGGGGGAGAGGGAATCCCCTCCAGTCTTTGTCCTGCCCGCCTCGAGTGGCCTGGCTGCCGCTCTGGGGGGTCTGATGTGCCTCCTACCGCAGGGCCACCCCAGTGTTTGCCAGGGTGACATTTTGAGTGGTTGCTCTTTGAGGAGTAGATCCCGAAAAGAATGTTGGGTGCCATTTCCCAGGGCCCAGGGCTCACCTGGAGTTGGCACAGTTGTGTCGTGAGGACAGAGGACTTGTCCAGAGATGCTGTTTGACCTCAGAAACATTGAACACTCGGCTTCTGCAGGCTACCGAGCAGTGGGCAGCGAACAGGCCCACTCCATCCTTGAGAGAGAGGAGGAAGCTCTGAGTTGGGGAAAAGAGGTCTGCCGTAGACTCATGGGTTTTTTAAAGCTACAGGTTTGATTGGGTTTTATGTCTGGGATAACATAATTGGTGTGAAGTGTCAGTGTAGCTGTGGCTGTTTCAGTGTCTCCTGCTCCCCCGGGCAGAGAGGGCAGTTGAGAGATCCAGATGTTTATTCAAAAGAGGCTAGAGACCTCACTTTCAAAAGTCTTCCTTGGGCTACCAAGCAGTGTTCTTACTACTTGGGTGACTCTGGATTGGGAGTAAAATCAAAGTTCAAATAACGGTAGATTTTGCTGTGCAGAACTCCTGTGTGGTCATTAAAATATATATATACAGAGAGAGCAAGCTTATGGGGTGCATCATTTATTGGTAAGGAAGAGATTTATATGTGCCAGTATTCACTGACTTTTCTCATCAGTAGTTTAAATCCATTAAAACTATTTTTATTTTATTTTCTTACACACCAACTTTTCACACCACCCTGTAGAATCTGGAGGACTAGAAATTTCAGATGAATTTATTAGGAATACTACACCTAGAGATCGTGATCTAAGACCAGAAGGAGCAAAACCTATGTTCAGGTTTGACTCCGGTGATAATTCCCGTGTACTTTTAAAAGGCTTTTCTTGTGGTATAAAACACTTATATAGAAGAGATGTTTGTCCCCTTTTTGACAGCTGTGATGAAGTTTTCATTTGATCAATAAGCCAGAAACTGAACCACATGTGAGAACCACATTTACCCTTCCAGTGTCCTTGTGATGTTTACAGGATGTTGAATGGGTCTGCAGGGCTGCTCTTTCTTTTGTTGCTTTCGTTTTCTTTATGTCTGTGGCTTTCGTCCTAGTGTTTTATATATAAGGTACTTGAGTAAAGTCTACATATTATTACATAGCTTTTCTTTTTCTCCCAATCTGTTACATAGGCAGTCCTGGCCAACCAAAATCGACGTGCCCCAGGACCTTGAGGATGACCTCACGGCCACTCCTTTGTCCCACGCGACTGTCCCTCAGTCTCCTGCTCGGGCCACCGACAGTGTCCTCAACGGGCACAGGAGCAAAGGGCTGTGTGACTCGGCCAAGAAGGAGGACCTCCCCGAGCTGGCGGGGCCCGCGCTGTCCTCGGGGCCGCCGGCCGGCCTGAAGGCCGCGGGCAGCGGGCGGAAGTGCCTCTTCCGGGTGGAGGAGGACGAGGAGGAGGACGAGGAGGACAAGAAGCCCGTGTCCCTCTCCACCCAGGTGGTGCTGCGCCGCAAGCCGTCCGTGACCAACCGGCTGACGTCCCGCAAGAGTGCGCCGGTGCTCAACCAGATCTTCGAGGAGGGCGAGTCGGACGACGAGTTCGACATGGACGAGAACCTGCCACCCAAGCTGAGCCGCCTCAAGATGAACATCGCCTCCCCGGGCACGGTGCACAAGCGCTACCACCGCCGGAAAAGTCAGGGCCGCGGCTCCAGCTGCAGCAGCTCGGAGACCAGCGACGACGACTCTGAGAGCCGCCGGCGGCTGGACAAGGACAGCGGCTTCACCTACTCCTGGCACCGCCGGGACAGCAGCGAGGGGCCCCCGGGCAGCGAGGGTGACGGTGGCGGCCAGAGCAAGCCGAGCCGCGGCGGCGGGGGCGCGGACAAGGCCAGCCCCAGCGAGCACAGCGCCGGCGGCGGTGGCCCCGCAGGGGGCTCGGGCGGCGCCCCGGGCAGCACGTCGGGCAGCGCGCGCCGCTGCGCCGGGACCGGCTCATCCACATCCACGCAGCTGGCCGCGCGCGGTGCCGGGGAGCTGGTGGAGAGCCTCAAACTCATGGGCCTCTGCCTCGGCTCGCAGCTGCACGGCAGCGCCAAGTACATTCTCGACCCGCAGAGCGGCTTGTCCTTCTCCAGCGTGAAGGTCCAGGAGAAGTCCGCCTGGAAGATGTGCATCGGCTCTGCCGGTGGCGCGGCGCCCGCCCCGGCCGGGGGCGGCATGAAGTTCTTCTCTGACCACGTGGTGGACACCACCGCGGAGTTGGACCGGATAAAGAGCAGAAACCTGAAAAACAACGTGCTCCAGCTACCTCTGTGCGAAAAGACCATCTCTGTGAACATCCAGCGGAACCCCAAGGAGGGGCTGCTGTGCGCCTCCAGCCAGGCCAGCTGCTGCCACGTCATCTGAGCTCGGCGCGCCTCCTGCTCAGAGCGGCCAAGACCGGCTCACTCCACTGGTCCCCTTTCGGTTTTATCTCTCAGAGCGGGCAGTTATTTATTACTTTCTCGTTTGTTCGCCCGACGACGTGACAAATGCATGGTCTTTGTGCATGCTGCTAGACACTGCTTTTCTTTTCCAGCCGAAAAGTCTCGTGTCATTTTTACGTTTATAATTTTAATGTGGATGATCAGGATTAAATTAAAATGTATATTTGGAACCTAATATCCATGGAGCACTTAGAAATTTGATGTTCTGCACTTAACTTAGAGAAAATGCTTTTCCTTGTGAAAAATCTAAATTCCTGCCCCAACCTTCAGTGACATGGAGACTCCGTGCTCTGAGGCACACTCTGGTGTCTGAGACAGAACCAAAGCAATAACCTTGTGATGCCGATAGGCCTGGGGCCCGCGAGCTTGGGGAGCCCGGCCTCCAGGCCCTGTGCAGAGCAGAGTGCAGCAAGCGTCTGCACTGACAACCGTAAAACCATGATTTCAGCATAACCCACACCTGTTTGTCTTAAGCTATAGTGTGAAAACAGTTTGGGCTCTTAAAATTTAACTGAAAAAGATGTTCTTGTTTTGTAATAGGTGAGATAAAGTACATAGATTTATAAGGCAGCTTCCTCTTTAGTGGTCAGTCACAAGCAGACAATCTCATTTTGTAATGTGATAAAGTGAACTGAAGATGTCTTAACTCGACTTCTAGAGTGTGTGTCTGTCAAACAGAACAAAGGGATGCTTGGTGTAAATTCCCTTGAGGAGGGCATACCCCAGGCTTCCAGGACAACCATATAGGTAGAAGAAACGCTGGGGCCTAAATAACATGGAAGCAAAGGTGTTGGCAAAGTCAAAACCCCATTTAAAAAAAAAATTGGCATTTGATTTTTAGGACTTTGATAATTAGGTTGTCTGTTGGTAACTTCCATTCTTTTATGTCCTTTAGCTCAACTACCTATGAAAATTGGCTGATTAAAAAGTACACATAAAAGGTTAAATACACAAACGGCCAACAAAAATGCACAAAGCCTGCTTTGTTTTTTGTTTTTGTTTTTTTGCTGGAAGTGTTTTTTACCTTACCTTCCTGCCAAAACAATAATCAAAGAACTCTTGCTTTAAAACTACTCCTGTACAAGACTACTCTTGACCAGATAATCATCTTTCGTGGCTTTTATCTTGTAGAACACAGTATCATTTTGGGAAGGGGCCAGATGCTACTTTTTCTTGCTGTGCCCAGAGGGTCTTAAAAGCAACGCTTAGTGACATTGGTTATAGGATGTGGCCGGTCCCTCTGGCTTTCTCACACTCCCCAGCGTCCCGTCCTGTCTGAATGACGGTCGTCTGGTCTGTAGAGTGGGCAGAGCCGTGAAGGACCACATTCCATTGGTCACGGTTTCTCCAAGTGTACACCGACTCTGCTACTTTAGGATTCATGTATTTTACTCAGAATTCTGAATTTTACAGTATGCTTACTAACCTAAGTAAAGATGATACTCAAAATACCTATTTTACTTTGTAGACCTAGACTAGATAACGTTTAAGCTACAGCTCTAGTTCATTGTGATATTTATAATTGAAAGCTATGAGAATAGACGTGTGGGTGAAGCCATAGAACATATTTGCTTGAAATTTCTTGAGCAGGGATCTTACAAAGGGCCAGAAATAAGATGTGTGGTTCACATAGATAGTGAGCGTAACATCTGTATTAAACGTAGGAGAGAAGTTTATAAAGGGCATTGGCAATAAACTCTTTGTTGCAGCTGTTTTCCAAGTAATGTAAATACTTTTTCCTGTGATTATGTATAGCCTTGGAATGGCACCTTTTAACTAACCCATATGTGTTTGGTTTTCAGTCGTTTTTTATATTCAAATGTATATATGGTGCTCACTTTTAGGATCAGCAGTGTTGACCATTTATGCTGCATAGCTGTATCATAGCCTTATTAGTCGTGTGGTTGGTTGACCCTCTGGGTAGACAGATGTTAGTCTGAGTGGCGTCTTACTCCTTTGTTCATCAGTGAATGACTGTGCATGTGTTGTATGTCATAGTATGTCGTCACATAAAAGGGAGGGAGCAAATAACCATTACATTAAGATAATATTGGACCAAACGACTTACTTGCTCTAAACAGTTTCTTGTACCCCTTAACCTGTCTTCAGAAGTTAGAGTTACAGTAGTGTGTAAATTAAATATTGTGGAAAAACAATTAGTCTTGTATTTTTCTGTATGTGTGTGTGTATATATATATATACATTATATATATATATAAAATTATGTACTTCTGGCAATTCTATCTGTATTTAAAGTTGTGACAATCTTGACACCGATTTTAAGAATAGCCGTGAGACTGAATCAAATTAAAGATGTCCCTTCCAAGTTAGGATCGATGTGTGTTAAGAGGGTACAGAATGATCAGCTGATTTTGGCTGGTTGCTTCCACTGCTGGTTGATTTTCCTCATTGTATAAACATTGACAGGTATGTGACAAATGGGAAAAAAAAAGTCCAAATAATAAAGTGGCATATTGGTGTTCAGCAATATAAACTGTGTCCCATGTTCTGTTTCTTCTCATGAACACAGCTGTGTATAGTCCTGGCCTGGGTTAGACCGATGTTCTACATGCTATGTACACGCCTGCTTCGCCAGATGTGACTGAAAAAATGCAGTCGCGACTGTTGTCACTTTAAACTCGGGACCACAAGTCTCAGGTGGGTGTCAGGACTGTCCGTTAATTAAACTGTATTTCCCCAATTATCTGCTTTCTTCACTCAACCAGTCACCATCCTCCCGATAAATAAACCAAAGCAGTTATAACTGCCCCAAGCGCCCGTTTCTGTCTTCCTACCTTGCTGTGTATTCAAGTGCCCTGTTCTGTCCACTTGCCCTGCTCTTTTTTCTGGTGGTGCGATTCCAAGTCAGCCCTTTCTCTTGCCCTTGAAGACTCCACAGGTGTCAGGGAGACAGACCCGAGGACCTTGTCATTCTTTTCTTCACCTTGCACCATCAATCTTTGCTTTTCCATTGGATCGCTTCTAACAGCAAACAAAACAAACACGATTTTATTCCCCTATCTTAGAAGTGTTTCTGTTCTCTCTCTAGCCGTGGTTGCCTTTTTCTCCTTCCTCCTCTCTGAACCCTTCCAACGAGGCAGTGCTGCAGTCACCCCACCGAAACTGCTTTGCTCAGGGTCAGCAGTGATCTCTTCCCTCTGCTAAACCCAATAGTCAATTTTTAGAAACAGCTTTGAGATGTAATCCTCATACCACATAATCCACCTATTTACATTGTACAGTTCAGTATATTTTAGTAAATTCAGAGTTGGACAACCATAAACCAAAACAGAAACCTTGTACCCTTTAGTACATTCTCCCTTTATCCTCAACTTCAGCCCAGCCTCAGCCAGACAAACCCTGATCCAGTGTGAGTTCCAGTCCCACATTAGCATTTAATAAGTAATCGTCCTTGCAAACTTTGCATTGCTCAGGACCTGACTTCTCCCTTGCTGCTCTTCAATCCGTTAGCTCCACAGTCTCCCAACTGCTAAAGCTGGAATACCGCAGTATTCAATTCTGGATCTTTTCTGTATCTACACACAGTCTCCTGATCCCATTCAGTCTTTGTGCTGACAGAAAACCCAAAATATATTTAGCCCACATCTCTCACAGGAACTCCAGATTCCAACTACCCATTTGATTTCTCTCCTTGGATGCGTCTGATAAGCACGTCAATTTGTACAAGTCCCAAACGCCTTCCTAATCCCCCTCAAATCTTTACCCTCCTAATGCTGCCCATCTCATAAGACAACTTTGAACCTTCATTTGTTCTGCACAAGTCAGATATCTTGTTGTCAACACTCACTCTTTGATCCCAGCATCTAATCCATCAGCACATCTTATTCATCATTCAAATATTGACACCTCACTGCCTCCACTTTTAACATTCTGGTCCATGACACCATCATTACTTGCCTCTTGAAGAGTTTCGCCAATTTTGCCCTTGTCTCTTTTCTTCATTCAGCATTGTTAGTGATCCTTCTAAAAGCTAAGGTCATGTCATGTTTTAAAAGGTGTTTAATCTCCAAACATTTGAGGATTTCCACATAAGTTCCTGTTACTAATTTCTAGTTTAATCATTTTAGTCAGAAGTTGTCCTTTGTGCAACTTAAATTTTTTTAATTTACTGAAATTCATTTTATGGCCCAGCTAATGGCCTGTCTTGGTGAATGCTTATGTGAGTACTTGAGAAGTGCTGCCGTTGATACAGTGTTCTGTATGTTCTGTACGTGTCAGTAATTAAGTTGGTTGATAATGGTATTCACGTCTTCTGTATCCTTACTGATTTTCTGCCCCATATAAATTACTGAGATAGGAGTGTTGACATCCAACTGCAGTTGTGGATTTGCCCATTTCTCCTTTTAATTCTATCAGTTTCATGTTACAAATTTTGAAACTCTGTTGTTAAAGATTGTTAAGTCTTCTTGATGAATTGACCCCTTTCATCATTAGGAAGTGTTCCTCTTTATCCCTAGTAAATAATTCTTTATCTTGGAGTCTGCTTTGTATGATAATGATAAAGCCATTCTCTTTTTTCTTTTTTACTTATGGGAGTATATTTTATTTTTAGCTCTATATGTATCTTTATATTTAAAATGAGAATTTAGGGGTTTTTTTGGGCAGTCTTTTATATAGAAAGCATGTCGCTGGGTCTTGCTTTTTTGTCCAGTCTACAAGTCTTTGCCTTTATATTTAAAGTAGAGGTCCCCAACCCCTGGGCCACAGATGGGTACCAGTCTGTGCTCCTTTAGGAAGAGGGCGACATAGCAGGTGAGTGGTGAGCAAGCAAGTGTATTTGCTGTATTTATAGCCGCTCCCCATTGCTCACATTACCTCCTGAGCTCCTCCCCTTGTCAGATCAGTGGTGGCCTTAGATTCTCGTAGAAGTGTGAACTCTACTATGAACTGCACACTCAGAGGATCTAGGTTGCATGCTCCTTATGAGAATCATCATGAAACCATCCCCCCTCAGCCCCCTCACCAATCTTTGGAAAAATTATCTTCCACGAAACTGGTCCTTGGTACCAAAAAGGTTGGGGACAACTGATTTATTCAGACCAACTGAATTTATTCAGACCAGCTTTAGTGTAATTGTCAACATAGTTGAGTGTAAATCTATCTTCTAATTGTTTTCTACTTGACTCATCATTGTTTTTCTCTTATTTATCATCTTCTTTTGGTTTAACTAGCACTTTTTATTGGCTAATTGGCTATGCCTCTCTTCGTTTTTTAGTTGCTGTTGGGGGGTGGGCGGTGTGTGTGTGTGTGGTAGACTGATTTTATAGAAATGTAATCTACTTTAATGCTCCTTATAGAATATAATGTTACAACTCTACACTTCCATTTTTCTCCTCTTCTTTTGTTGCCATTTTATTTTTATATTTGCACACATGAGTTTGTTTTAGGCAGTTTTCTTTTTAAGAGATGAAATGGGGGGAAAGTCTTTTATTACCAAAATCTTTGTTGTTTCCATCACTCTTCATTTTCTTGTAAAAATCTGCATTTTGGTATTTTCCTTCTGCCTGTAGAACTTTAAATTTGTAATATTACAGGTCTGCTGACAATATATTCTGATAGCTTTTGCTTGTCTGAAAACACATTGGTACTTCATTTGTGAAGGATATTTTCATTGGGTATAGAATTCTAGCTTTTTTATTGCAGTGCTAGTCACTATGAATTTCACTTTGTTGAATGCTGGATTTTGTACTCATGTAAAAAGTGCTGGGTTTCATTTTGGCATGGGGTTATTTGCAGTTGTTCCAGTTTGGGTCTTGCTTTTAAAGTGTTAGGACAGATCCAGAGAGGTCTTTTAGGACTGACTTGCCCATGACAGAGGCACTGCCCTTGTGTACGCAGTCCACCAGTCTTTCCATTCTGGCTGGGGCAGCAGGAGTTCTTCCCAGCTTTGCGTAAGTTCTCAGTGCCGGTCAGTCTCCTGCCTTCCTGGGGCTTCTTTCTCCAGCTTTAGGTAATTTTCTACCTGAAAATGTGTATTGATTAGCACTCAGTCTTAGGCCACAGATTCTGGTGCACAAGGCTCGCTCCTTGTGCCAAGGATACGCCAGACTTCAGGCCCCCTCTGCCCTGCAGTCCAGCAGGGATTGGGTCCCTCAGAGTTGTGGGCCTGGCGAGGGATAGTTGAGAAGGGGATGTGGGATCTGGTCTTTCTGGAGCTAATAGAAGCCAGGCGCATTGTGACTGCTGGGGAGTCACTTGTACTCCGGACATCTCTCTCCCAGCAGAGTGCCAAAGGTTGGCAAGTAAGAGGAACAAACTGGAATCTTGGTCCTTGTGAGTTCATGATGCCCTTGGGGAAGAAACAGGGCTTCCAGTTACCAGCAGACACCCATCTGAGATGGTGACGGGTCCCAGGGTGCTGCTGGGAGGTGCTCCTGGGAGTTCCAGGAACCGGGGAGTCAGGGACGGGGCAGAGCAGGGAGGGGGTGCGGGAGGCAGAGGGGAGGCGGGCAGGGAGTGCAGAAGAGAAGCTTGGCAGGATTCGAGTCCAGAGTTCCTGTGTGAGCTGCGGGGGAGAGAACAGCCCACTGTTCTTCTTGACTGCGTTATCCCTTCCCAGGGACTCCAGAATTTGTGGATTGGGAGCCTGGAAGAATCGGAGGACCTGGGGGCATGGCTAGAAAGAGCGTTGCTTGGTGGAACAGCAGCATTAGGGCGGGAAGAAGGCAGAGTCTGCATCCCACTGTCACTCCGGGAACCCTGCTCAGAAGGGCCCTGTCTCGGTTTAATGCTCTCCTCTTAGTTGTCCTGAGATTCTTGAAACTTTTTAAGAGGGGCTGTGCGTTCATTTTGCCCTGGGTCCTGCAGGTTATGCACCAGGCTGAGGGGTTAGGTCTGTATTCTGCAGATGTGAAGGAGGTGGTCTCAGCCATGAGGATGGGAGGCTTTGGCGAGAGCAGAGGGCCAGAGAGAGCAGCCAAGGCTAGAGGCAGAAGCCTGGGGGCTGCCTCCCGTGTTGGGCTGAGAGGAAGCCTGAGGACGCCAGGAGTGGAGCCGCAGAGCGGGAGAGCAGCAGGCGAGCGCCGAGGCCGCGGCCAGGTGCTGGGGTGAGCGGGGTGAGCTGCCGGGCTGCCCGAGGTGGGGCAGAGCTGGCCGGGGAGGCAGTGTGTGGGCGTTACTCGGAGTGCCCCCAGAAAGGGAGGGGCAGGCCAGCTGTGGGAACATGTTCAGGAAGGCATGGGGTCTGCCTGTGGGCACAGCGCTGATCTCACCCCGGAGCCTGCCCCGGGGCACCTCCTGCTTGGGGAGAGATGAGACGGTGGTTGACCTCTGACCTTCCAGAAGGCTGGGCAAAGCCCTATTAAACCTATGGGCTCTGGGGTCCACTGTGAACCACACTAGAGCTCTTACATAGCAGATTTCTGTGCCTCTCATCACCTTTCTAATTCCTGAATTGTTCCAAATTCGGTGACACATCTGGTCCTGAGGGAAGCACGTTACCCTCGTGAAGAGAAGGATCTAGACGCAGGGGGAGACGTGGTCTCGCAGCGTGTCCTGGGGGGTTCCAGCGGCTGAGGCTCCCCTGGGACCCGCCACTTGGGAACAGACTGGGCTGAGGAGCAGGGTCTGGGCCCTCGGAAGCTCGTGGTATGTTAAGAAAGCAGCACCTTGTTTTGGACTTGTTTCCTGGGGTTGGAGGGGCAGCGGCCGCTGTCATTGGCTCTTCAGCCTCCCTTAGGGTGGAAGCCCTTGTTTTCTATGTTTATGGCCAGACAGCTATGTAAAGGGCGGCGTGGATCTGTGTCTGTACCATGATTTTCCTGGTACTGAGCAAATGACCGTCTTCACACCCTGGGCTGGCCATGCAGGCCTGTGCTGGGGGCGGGGGTGCTGTGCCCCCCTGGAGTGTCAGCAGACCTGGACTTAGCTGGGTGTGCCTTCCCCGCGTCCTCCCACAGGAGGTGACGGGTAGTAGCAGGAGCCGTGTTCTCCTGTCCCCGGGGGAGTCCGCCAGCACCCAGGAAGGTCTGGAGAGGAGGCCACACATGGTCCTCGTGATCTGCGCTGCAGCTCAAGGAAAACCACCACCATCCCTCTTCTTGGTCAGTTGATGGCTAAGGCTCACAGACCCCTGAGCAGGGAGCCCAGCGCCGCCTCTCACCCACCCAGTTAGCCAGGGGCTTCCTGAGGGGGAGCATGGGTCATCAGTGATGGAAAGCAAACTGCAAAGTCTCTTTGGTCAGAGAGTTCCAGGCCAAACTGCCAAAACTCCGTTCCTCAGGCCTGGGTGGTGGCGCCAAGCGTCGCACTGATCAGGGTGCGGGTTCTCTTGGGGGGTCTGCAGCTACACGCTGCGGCCCAGCTGCTGCCGCTGGTCACACTGCCCCCCAGGTGCCGGCCTTGGCTGGGGCTCCTCCTGACTTGACTCGCAGAAAGCTGGGATGAGCAGCGTGCCACACCCTCCCCCAGCGCCTACCTGTGCAGCCAGCAGAGACCACACACAGGCCTCTGGTTAGGCCGGGGGGAAGGCTGGCGCCCCGAGGCTGACGGAGAGGCCCGAGGACCCAGCCGCCCCCACGGAGGGGCCACGGCTTCCCTCCAGTCCCTGGTGGCCCCGGCTTCTGTCAGGCCCTCTCTTCAGGCCACCCTAGGGTGGGGCACGGAGACGGGCCCGTGCTTGGGCCTGGCTGAGCAGCTCACTGCTCACCGTTGCTGTCCTCGCAGGGCCGGGAGTTAACCTGGGTCAGGAGGCGTCTGGAGCCCAGGGTTCCTGTTCTCGTTGGTTGTTTCCTGCCGGAAGCAGGGCTGAAGCTCAGGGTCAGGACTGAGGAGAGAGCTGGGCTGTGCGCCGTCCTGGCCACGCTGCTGAGAGGTCGGGGAGGTCACCGAGGTCCCTGTGCCTCAGCTTCGTCTAAAACGGGCGGGAGGAGAAACCGGAGCTGGGGGGCATACCGAGGGCGGCAGGGTCTCCAGGCTGCCAGCCTCACGGGAGGGCTCGGCATGCCTAACCGTTTGCTTCTGGTTTCGTGCCTAAAACCAGAGGACACAGGTTTGTTCTCAGATCTTTGTTCTGTTTCCGAGCTGCTGGTGGGGAGTGAGGGAGTGTGGCCACCAGCGGGGAGGGCGCGGGCCACTGCCTGCCCCCACCCCACCCAGGCCTGACCGTGGACAGCAAGGCGGGCCCATCGGGCGGTGTTGGCCCAGCCCCCGCCCGGGGCCCCAGCGGGGGTCGGGTGTCGGCGGCAGCAGACCTGAGCATCCTGCTGGTGGCGTGAAGAGGGGACAGCTGGGCTGAGCAGTGAGTCCGGCAGGGCCCACTGGCAGCGTGTGGACTTGGGGAGTCTGGACCTCACGCCCGAGGGAGGCGGGTGGGGGGAGGCAGTCGGGGGAGGCTGTGGGCTCCGCCTGGTCTCCAGGGGCCTCCGCCTCGCTTGGCTCGGACACCACCCCCGCTCCCCGGCAGGGAGTGGATGGCATCACCTCTGTCTGGGCTCCTCCCCGGGGACCTGCCCACGCAGAGCCGTCTGGTGACCCGGCTCGGGCCCGGAGACCCCAGCTCACCGCCGTGTGGATGAGGCCTCGCACGCCCTCTGAGAACCGAGGGGGCTGTGCGCCCGGGTGGTTCTGCACTCCTGTCCGCCTGCTCCCTGCTTGGTCCGGATACACTGTTGGGGTCTCCTCCCAGCACTTTCTTTATGGGCTCCGCTCCACCTCGGGGGGTCTTCTCTGTTTCAGGCGGGCGATGCCTCAGCTCCTGTCAGCCCTGTGGGAAAAGGCGGGCTAGGAGAAGAGGGAGGGGGCGCTCACCGTCGGTGTCGGGGAGGACGGGGGCACAGGGGACAACCTGTGGGTCACCCGGGGGCCGGAAGCAGCAGAGCCGGGCGGGGGGAGCACGAGGGCCCCGGGGCTAGCAGGGCGGGGGGCTGGGTCTGAGGCTGGGCTGGGGCACCTGGGGTGAGGCCGGGAGGAGAGGACAGGAGGGGGCCGAGCTGGGAGGAGACAGACCCCGGGGTCGTCCGTGTCACGCATGTGAGCCCGGTGTGCTGCGGGACAGCGTCCCCGGGTCTGTCTCGGGTCAGTTATGGTGACAAGACCATCACCTGTGAGGGCACCGTGGTCTGTTCCAGCCCTGCTCCCGGGCGCCTGCCACGAGCCGGACGCTATGAGTCCTCTCTGAGCATAGGACACAGACGAGTTGCGGGGCCTGGCGGGCCCACGCGGATCCACTTCCTGCCAGCCCCGTGGACATCACTGGAGTGGCTCCCATGTCCATCCTCTCCACAGCCCCGGAACGCACCCCAGTGGAGGTAGGTCCTGTGCGTCCAGGCTGACCCCCGGGTCCCCTGTGCCCCGAGCAGGACTGCCTTAGTGCTGGCTGAGTGATGGGTTCTGCCAGGTCAGGCTGAGGAAGGGCAGGGCAGGCTTCTGGGAAGGACAGTCACGCGCAGGGAGGCTGGGTCCATGCTGATGCGGGATGGGGAGGGCCGCCAGGAGCAGCTGGGAGCCCGCAGGTGGGAGATGAGCCCATGGGGTCCACACCCTGAACCCACCCCCCCCACCCAACTGTGCTCATGTGACTGTCCCCAAAGCCCACTCTGGGGGAGATGGAGTTGGGTCCAAGGACCCATCTGAACTTTCTCCTTTCCCAGGAAACACAGGGCACCCTGGCTGGGACCGTGGGGTGGCTCTGGGGAGCTCAGGACTGGAGTGGAAGCTACCAGTCCCTGGTGTTCTGACCCGGGAGCGTGTTCTAGAAAGTATCCACCAGGGAGGACTTGTGCCGTGGAGGGGGCTGAGCCCAGGGTGGGCAGGGCAAGGCTGACCACGGGTGTCCACACTGGTAAAGGTGAGCTGGCAGGACCCCCAGAACAGCCACACGTAGCAGACAGGAGAGTCAGGCTTCCAAAAACCCGTGTGAAGCGGGTCTGCTGCAGCCACGCCCGTCTGGATGAGAAGGCGGGGATCGAGGGGCCAGGCCCCGGAACGAGGGAGACTGGTTGAGACCGCCTACCCTCCCCGTCTTCCCCTGACCGGCGGCAGCGCCCAGCTTCCCACAGGAAGGTCCCGCTGGCCGCGATGCCCGGCTCCGCAGGCCCCGTGGGGCAGGGCTGGCTGGGCCCTGGGGCGGTTTGAGCAGCCGTTGGTGGGAAAGTAAGCTGGGCTGGGGGCCGCCGCGCCTGTGAGAGCACCGCAGCCCCTCGGGCACCCCGCACCCCCACGCAGCTGTGTCCCAAGCACCCGGGGCTTCCGCAGGCTCTAGCAGGGGCCCAGCCTCCAGGCGGGCCCGGCCCGTGGCTCCCCTCAGGGCCCCCCATTCCACTACCGGGCGCAGAGGAGGGGGGCTCTGTCTACACACATGGAGGAGACGTCAGACGTGCACGGGGCCTTTAATAGCTCGGTGGGCAGTTTCCGTTGATGAAGGGTTTGTGAACTTATTGCAGGACAGAGTCAGGAGTGTGGAAACGCCGTCTCACTGGACGCCCGTTCTCCCAGTGGGGGCTCGGCTGGATGCCACCCCCATCGGCCAACAGTCACCGTGAGGGTGGCGTGTGGAGCTGGTGGCTGGTCCATATGCGAGGCTGGGCCCTGGTGGCTCTGGAGCAAGGTCAGGTGGCTGGAGTGGGTGTGAGGCTCAGGTAGGAGCCTGGAAGTGGGTCCACCCTCAGGGCGCCTTCTCCTTCCCACCTTCCCTGCATTCCTCTTTCAGGTTCTCGGCTGTGAGCTTCATCTGCTGTTGAGAGAACAGGACATGGTGAGCCATGCGAGCCTGGGTGGAGGCCCTCAGGGCGCCGCCCAGCACACACTCTGTGGGAGACGCCTGGCGCTGCTCCTTCAGGTCCGGGGACGGACACTTGGAACCGAGGAGCCGGGACCACTGATGCAGCCCGAGGCGTCCCGCCGAGTCCGGAGCCTGTTTCTGACCCAGAGGAGCAGGAAACGGTAGGTGTGGGTGGAATGTGTTGTGTGCGCCCAGCTCAGCAGGGCCTTTACAGACACTGAAGTGAGAAGCAGCTGGCACCTCCTCCTCCCTGGACCTCCAGGAGAAAGCGGGGAACCACAGGGCTGGGGGCTGGAGCCTGACGTGGGGCCAAGTCCGTGCTCTGCCCCTGCACACCGAGTGACCTCAGAAGTGTGACCGCCGAGCCTCGTGTCACACCCGCCCCCTGGGTGAGAGGTGCACACCCTGCAGGCTGATGCTGGGGTGACCGCCCCTCAAGTCCCTGGCCCAGAGCAAAGGCCCCAGAAGAGCGGACGTCTCACCAGACCTCTGTCCCAACAGCCACATCCAGGAGCATGGGGGACACCCTGTGAAGGCTCAGAGGGACGTGTCCGAGGAAAGGGCCCGCACCCAGGACCACAGGCTGCAAGGAGGGAGCGCTCTGGCTCCAGTCCTGGCCCCACCCGGCCGCCTCTGCCATGGGTGCTGGAAACGTGAGTACAGCTCTGCACGGTTGACTGAATCAATTACGCCTTTGGAATTTGACTTCACACACACACACAGATTTTTGATAATAGCTATTTACTTATGGAGAAAACACAACTCTGAGCACAAACACGGCTGGGGCCTGGGTCCCCAGTTGCCCTCCTGGGAGCCCCGACTGCCACACGCCTAGACATGACGCACACTCCCTCCGCTTTTGGGGAGGAGACCCCTCTGCAGACTGTCAGTCAGAGTCTGTGCCTCCTGCTCCACTCTGAAGGCCCCTCTAGATCTCCAGTAACTCAGGAGGCCCCCTTCACTCCAGATAGTCCTCATCTCTCTTGCCTTGGGTTTAGGAGACCTTTTCAAATGTCTTTTCATGAGAGCGAAAAAGGGGTTGAGGGACAGAATTTGATGAGTAGCCATCAGAAATTAAAATCTAAACTGATGAGGATAAAATATTCCCAGGTTTCTCACAGAATCATACAGCCAGGAGTCCTTCTCCACCTGAGAAGGAAAATCATAATGAGGTGTTTTTTTTTTAAAGTCTTTATTGAGTTTGTTACAATACCGCTCCTGTTTCTATATTATGGTTTTTTGGCCAAAAGGCATGTGACCTTAGCTCCCTGACCAGGGATTGAACCTGCATGCCCTGTCCTGGAAGGCGAAGTCTTAATCACTGGACTGCCAGGGAAATCTCCACAATGGGTTTTGATGAAACGAGTTTTGATTGAAAGGCACCTCTGAGGTTCCCCTCCAGGTGCAGACAGCAGCCCCATCTGTGTGTGTGGCTGGGGATAAGCCCTCTCCCCTGAACAACCCTGCTGCAAGTGACCTAATTCTGGAGATGCCTCTTTTTCCAGCTCCAAGGCCTGGGAAGAGACTCTGAACCCAGCAGGCTGGGTGACCCCCACCTGCAGTGCCTGCCCTGCTAAGGGCAGGGTCCACACTGGACTGCGTGGCTGGATCAAAGGTAGGGACCTCAGCCGGGACCCTCCATCCCCTTGGCCTCTGGGTTGGGCCAGCCCTCCCCCTGACCCGCTCCTACCCCAGGTCCCGCAGGGCTCCATCTATCTCATGGAGCTTTGTGATCCCCAAAGGCCACATTGTCCGTGGTGGGTGAGGAGCTGGGGCTCAGCCTGTCTCCCCCTTGTCTTCCACACCCCCAGCTGGATATGCTGAGCAGAGAGTAGGACCAGACCATAAGACCCTAAAGACAAGCCTAAGAAGAAACACACTGCCACAGCCTGCCTGCCCAAGGTGAAGTGTTAAACCGCATGAGAGGTCAGTGAGCGATGCGCCAGCCTTTCCTGCACAATCGGGGCAGGTCTCCACGGCTGCTGCCTGAGAGATGGGGTTGGAGGCCACGTGGCCTTGAGACGGCCCCCCCGGGTCACCCAGTTGCTGTCACTGCTCACAGGTCTGCATCCCCTCACAGTGTGCGGTCACGGAACTCCTAATGAAACTGCCCACATCCTCCTTGCCTTCCAGCGAAATGGGGGGCTTTAGCAGAACTAACTCTAGAAGCATAAAAGTTCTGATCTGAAGGAACCTTGATGATTATTTGGTGCTGTGGTCCCTGGACCTTGTTAAATGTATACTCAGTCCCTCCCTGAGATGATAAAATGCCATAATGATGGTTTGTAGAGGTTTGTAGAGGGAGCCTGGACTCTCTGAACTTTACCAGGCCCGGCATCTTTTACCAGAAAGCAAACTGGGTCACTGGGCAGGTCCAGACCACAGTCCATGCCTCCCGCAGCTCAGCTGTTTGGTGAGGGTGCTTCAGCTGCCCTGCTGAAGAGGGTGGGGTGAGAAGGAGCAACCTCATTCCCTTAAAAAAATAGCTGGCTTCTTTGGGGACTTTAGAATCAAAACCTTTAAAAATGTAAGCAGGACAATAATGCTGACTTCTTCCCCATTAAGAAACATCAGAATGAAGAGCAAACGAAATTTTCCTCAACTCACAAGTCATTCAAACACTCATGTTCCAAATTATTCTTTAAAAAGCACAGACTGATTTTTGGCATCATTATTAGCAATGATTATACAGGCAGACCTTTTACTGTGCTTCGCAGGTACTGTTTTTTGCTTTTTTTTTTTTTTAAACAAACTGAAGGTTTGTGGGCAGTCCTGTGTTGAATGAACACTTCTGTTGATGGCATTTCTTGAACAGCATTATTTTTTAAGGTTATGTACATTTTTTTAAGACATAATGCAATTACACTTAATAGACCACACTACAGTGTAAACATTACTTTTATATACAGGAGAAAAAGAAAAATTCACAACTTGCTTTACTGCAGTGGTCTGGAACCAAACCTGCAGTATCTCAGAGGTCTACCTCTTAACAGGAACCAACTCACTAAGTGTGTTGGCCAAATGTGCAGCTTCACCTGAGACAAGGTGAGTGACAGGATCCCTCTTCCCTGCGGAGAAGTAGAGAAGTGCTGTCCGAGACCTGCACTGCTCCGCACGTCCACAGACACGGCGCCGCAGAGACTCCCTCGCTGACCCATGGTCACTTTCGGGATCCTTCTCTTCACCTGACTCAGGAAGTCAGTTTGGTAGCAGCTGCTCTGTTACCCCTTCCCCGAGAAGGACCCTGCACGTTCCTCTCCCCCGAATGCTGCAGGCCACCACCCCTGCTTCCCCTGCCCCCTCCGTTCTGATTTAACGGGGGCATGGGGGTTAGGAAGGCTCCCCGGGGTGATTTTCTCGTGCAGCTGGGGTGGAGAAGCACTACCTGGAAGGAAGCCACTTGGGCAGGTAAGGTGGGGGTGGGGAGGGGAGCAGGACCGGGGCCTCCGCTGTCCACAGCTCTGCCCCGCTTGCCGGCAACCACGCGCCTGTCTCCTCCGCCCGTGTCACTAGCTTGAGATCGTGCAGTTAGAGTCAGGACAGACTAAGCGAGGGTCTGTCGTTCAGTGAAGAAAGGAAAGCAGAGAGCAGGCCTTCTGACGTACCCGTGTTCACAAAGGTGAGCTTTGTCTGAGAGACCTAGAGACAAGCCCCTCTAACGAGTAGCACCTCCCCGCGCCCCCAGTCTTCCCCGCTCAGCCCCAAACCCGAGACGTCACCATGGATGGCTCCCTGCCCCTCCCCGTCAGGCCCGGTGGCCCCCTCCTGCCCTGAAACCACCTCCCAGAAGCCCCCACCCGTCTCCAAAGGCAGCCCGAGCCATGTTTAGAAGAGGGGACCAGAAACACGCCACTCGAGGGGCTTCCCGAAAGACTCAAGTCCCCCTTTTATCTCTCTCACCCCGAAGCCTTGGCTCTGCTCCCCAAGCACCAGCTCCTTCCCCGTCTGCCTCACCGGCCCTGCCACTGAGCTCTGCCCTTCAGCCTGGCTCCTCCCGGAACACTCAGCCCAGAGGACGCGTCTCCATCATGTCCCCGTCTCCTGTAACTCCTGGACTGTACTCAAGCTGTCGGGTTCTCCGTTTTCTGTGGAATGTCCAGCGTCTCCTCTCCTGACTCCACCCCAGGGCCTGCAGGAGCCCAAGAGAGGACAGCGAGAACAACAGGGGTAAGTGAGACACCCACCTTCCTGAAGTTCGCATCATTTTCTGAACCCAGCCACATGTCTGGGACCACAGAGCACACGCCGTGATACAGGCTGTATGTCAAGTGCCAGGACATCAGAGTCCAACTGGTGGCCTGGCCTGGTAACTGGGCAGACCTGGGTCCAGCCCTGCAGGTTCTCTCCTGGTGGGGACAGGTGTCTGAGCTCCCCAAGCTTTCAGGGCTGGCTCTGGTGAAGGGAAGAAGGATCTGCAGGTAGAGCTGGGGGAAAGAGGATGATGGGAAAGTCGCCTGATATCAGCTTGGTCCCTGCTGGAAACCAAGAAGGTCCAAACCCAGCTCCCCCACCCAGTGAGGTGTGGTGTCCACAAGTTCAGTAACTGCATGAGCTGACCCTGGGGACCATAAGTGTCAGTTTGACTTAGAACTAATGTCTACTTAAATTGTTTGGGAGGAGGAGATTGAGGTGGTGAAGTAGAAGAACACAGAGTTCACTCCACCCACAAATACATCAAAACTACACTTAAAACTAGAACAATTTTCACAGAACACCAGCTGAGAGCAGGCAGATATCAAATACCCAGTGCTGAAAGAAAGACCCCCATGTAACCTGGTAAGACTAAAGGAAAAAACCGGGGCAGGGAGAATGAAGGTGGGGCCTGTGCCCCAAGGGAGGGAGCTGTGGAAGAGGACAGGCTTCCTCACCTCGGGAACCTCCCGTGCTAGGACAGAGGGGAGGCTGCAGGGGCCTGGAATTTGCCCACGAGGAGTGTGCACTGGCTGCCAGCA